TTGTAAAACCAAAAATATTCTCACTAAAAAACAAATAATTATTCAAGATATCATTGAGAAAATTGGAAATCCTCAACTCAAGAAAAAATTCAAATCTATTTTAACATCAAAATCTACGGATCAGCCATTTAATATGCAACACATAATGAATCGATTCAAAACTAAGCAGTTAAAAACATTTATTCCTAATTTAAAGTCAAAAATTAATGAGATGCAATCTCAAATTTCATCCGTTGAACGCCAAATGAAAGAAGTAAGAATAGTAGTACTACTTAAAACGGAAGATTTAGAACGTGAATATGTTCATAAATCTCCTTCATCTTCCTTTCCAAATTCTGAAGATGCTAGAACTTCTCATGCTTATCATTCAAACTCTTAATCTAAAATAGAAAAGGTTAATGTCATTAACCGAATTCACCTTAAAAAATAGTTCTGCAATATGAATAGTGTAGTTAACAAAGAATTCAAATTCACTTCTAGAGTCATCATTGATACAGGAGCCAATCAAAATTATATATGAAAATGATTAATACCTACAAAATATTTGAAAAAACTACTAAGCATCTTTATGGTGCCAGCAATAAAAGCTAAATATTCAATATAAACTTTCAAAAGTTAATGTTTGTAATTCAACTATTTGTTTCAAAAATATATTCTATCTTGTAAAAGATTTAGACCAAGAAGTAATTCTTAGAACTCTTTTTATTGATCAAATTTATCCATTTCAAGCTGATTCTAAAGGACTTACTATAAATATTTTTGACCAAGAAATATTTTCAAATTTTCAAATCATTTTTTTATAAAGATGCAAATTCTTCAAAAGAGTCATCTATTTCAAACATTATAAATAATATTAATTTCAAAAGGAATCATATTCAATTTCTCAAGGAAGAAATTAAATTTAAAAGAATTGAAGAACAATTATAAAATTCTTCAATAAAAGAGAAAATTTAAAAATTATAAAATGAAATTGAAAATGAAATATATTCTACAATTTGCAATGCTTTTTGGAATATGAATAAACATATTATTTCCTTTTTATACAATTCTAATTTTGATGAATCAAATATTTTTACAAAATCTCGTCTCATTCAAATAAGCAAAAAGTTACTTTATCATTGTGTCAAGAAAATCAAAGATTTACTTGATAAAAGTCTTTTTCGGCCAAGCAAATCATCACGAAGTTGCTCTATATTTTACGTTAATAATTCTGCTAAAATTGAGCGAGATACTCCGCAAATCACTCAATAAAGCTTTTCAATGGATAAGATATCCATTGCCTATGAAAGATCTTTTAAATAGATTATTCGACCAATGTCTCATAATACTAAAATCATTTTGAAATATCAGTAGAAAAGTCACGTCGCACAATTATGCTTTGACTAAAATCGTATTAAATGCAATTAAAATGCATGGTTTTGGTCAATAATTATGTGGGCTCCAGAAGAAAAGAAAACGAGGACTGCCATTCCAATTTTCAAGGATGGGGATTTGCTTGGTGTTGTTTCTTTTCTCCTCTTTTTTTTTGACAAATTTTCCTCGATTTCTCCGTGATGTTCAATAATTTAGTATTGCGTCTTTAAATTATTTCTTTTCTTGTCTCTTCTATGCTAATTTCATCATTTATTCCTCTAATACTGTCATATTCTGTCTTAAATATGTATATTAAACTTTCTCCACAATAAAAAGTGACACGATGGGTGAACATACATAATTTAGTTGTGGGAATCATGAACACAATTTTCACCTCAATTTTGATATTGATTATGTTATAGTACATATGAAATTTTATTTTTAGATTAATAGTTTTGGATTAGTATATATCAGAATTTAGATTAGCGTGAATTCGATTAGCGTGATATGGGTGAAAAATTCAAATTTTGATCAATTCAAGTGGCATATAAGGTGTTTGTGAAAATGTAAATAAAATATGAAAACGATAAAAGTGGCCTGCTAATTTTTTATTTTTTTTCTTTCTATTTCGTTTAAGTCCGTTATTATCTCGTACAGAGAATATAACATGACTTTCTCTTTAAATCAACGTTGTTGCTGGATTATTAAATCCCAATAATTTTAGATTAGTATATACCAAAATTTTGACTAGTGTGACTTGGATTAGGCTGGTGTATGTGAAAATACAACTTTTGATCAATTCAAGAGGTATGCAAGGTGTTTATGAAAATATAAATACAAATGTGAAAATGATAAAAGTTACATGCTATGTTACTTTTTTAATTCTATGATGTGGACTAAACTTTTCCTATAAGTCCGTTATTATCTCGAGCGAAGAATATAACAAGAATTTCTTTTTAAATTAACATTTTTGATGGATTTTCTACAATCATTCATGTATATACATTAATTTCAAACGTCTCATAGAATTTCAGTGCTGGACTGGGGGAAATTTCTTGGAGCTAGAATCTTTAGATTAATTATTGTACTTTCCTATGTCATCTAGCTTCTATAAATTGTACCCCAATCTATAGAATTTTACAAAGCAACTATAAAGAAATAATTTTCAGATTATATGTACCAAGTTTTCTTGCCTTTAATAGTTCACCCCAATCATTGGAGATAAATATTTGCCCCCCATCTAAAATATCATAAAAAAAATACAAAACCTATCTAACTGACAGCCCAGTCATAATGCCACCCACTTCTTTTGAACAATTTTTTTTTTTTTTTTATGGGATTAATATAGGCAGAGGAAATCGATTTACCTTTACTAATATCTCGTCTAAAAAATTAATAGATAAAGAGTGAATAAATGTTATTTAAAATGTAGGTGCAAAATTCTTTTCTTTTCTTTTTTTTTTTTTTTTGAGAAAATTTTTTTTTCCTTTTTTTTTTTTTTTGTATATATCTTCATTTTTATCTTTCTATTCATATCAAAATTCATACAATACATACATAATTTTCACATATGAGTGACTACTACTACTTGAGCAAAAGTGATTTTAAGTCTGTTTGAGAGTGATTTTTTCTCCCAAAAAATTAATTTTTTGACCGTTATTTCACTATTTCAGCCATTATATTTGACTTTTTCTGTCACAAGTGGACCCCACTCTTCTCTTAACGATCAAAAAATAATTATCAAAATAACTTCCACACAAGCTCTTTATCAATCACCTCCTCAAAAAGTTTAAACTTGTAATAGAGTATGAACTATTTATTTAAACTAAACTTCTTCTTAGATAGGGATACAAAAGGAGTAGGGTGGGGTAGTTCAAAGACAACCATTATCGTCCCCATCCATCGGGATTTTTTGGAAACGGGGCAGTAAATTAAAAAAAAAATAAAATTATCTCCATTTGCCAACTCATTTTATTAATTATCTATTTTTTTAACTTTTGAAATGCGATTTAAATTATAAGTGTTGGGTTTTTTGATACCCAATAATCTCGGACGATGATGTTAAACAGTGTCGAATAGTAGGATTAGATTTCGTAAGCTTCAGCTGATGATTGAAATATTTATTAACACACTCGATTAATTGGCTCAACTCGAAAAATAACTTGAGGGTCGTTTGAAGCAACTTAATATAGTTAATGTTGCTCATGGCCCATTTACTTCTTGGATGACTCACTTTTGTGTTCCGACCCCTTTAACCATTAGTTGGTCCATGAGCCCACTATATTAGTCCATTACTATTACACCCTAAAACTATATATTGGTCTTACTGTTGAATAAGCCGTGTGTGTGTGCAATTGAAGAAAGAGGCAACCGACTTTTCTCTTGTTTTCTCTTTTGAGTCTTGAAATTGAACCTGTCTTCCTCTATTCTTGGTTATTCATTGCATCCACCATATTGTGTTCTTTGTGAACACATTGAGTTGAGAAACTGAAGTAAGAATCGTTGTTTGGATTGGAGCCATACTTGGGTGTGTTTAATAAGGTTGAGATTGGTGAAACTGAGCCCCAAAAATTCATTATCGGAGGTCGATTCTTCAACAAAAAGCATAAAAATAAAAGGAAACAAAAAGAGTCGAGAAATATTCGAGAAATTTGAGACAAGGTAATGCAGGACAGGTTGGGAGCAGATAATTTGTCATCCCTAGTCATGGAATGTTGGTAATAGAAACTTCAGTTCGAGAGAAGATTTTGGAGATGGCACTGATTTGGGAGTTTGCTCAACAATTGCTGAACTCTGATTTCAATAAATATAAGAAACGATATAGTACATATCAATGGCCACAATGCAAGGTTGCAACAAAGCAAAAGATCAAATGGCTGTTGTGTTAACTTCTTATTGAATTAAAATAGATGGTAGCTATCCATGAGGTAAAAACAATAATATTTTATTTATGTGTTTTCTGCTTTTGCAATTCACAATTGAAAATGATTGGGCAGGAAATAAGAGATCCATTAACGATCCTTACCTCCACCATCACCCCCCAATCTTATCGTTGCCGCTTCTCCATTCCTCCAACACAACCATCGTCCTCCTCTTTCTACGTCGCCACCACTACTAACAGCAAACCCAAGCCTAAGATTTACTACTACATCTCCACTTATATCTGTTGTTCGGTGAGACAATCGAGGAAAGCTTAGGTATTATCCAAAGAGACGACGTTTTCTTTGAAAAGCTTGAGCCCCGAAAAAGCAAGAAGCCTGCCATTTTTGACAATGTTTGGAGGAGTTCACTTAGCAATCACCGTGAAAAATTCAAGAACCAGAAATTAGGGTCCATCACAACTTCTCCAATGATTTTTCCTAGCTCAATTATTCGAGACTTCAACTTCTTTTCGGCTTCTATTTGGTTGGGATTGAATTGCATTTATTTTTCTCCGTAAATTATAATGTTAATGATAATTAAAATGGTGAAAGGGTATTAATCAAATTTCTAAGTAATGGGCCATACTGGGCCTAATTATCCCTTTTTAAACCGTAAATAAGTCTCAAGCCATTTGATCCTCGAAAATAGGGCTTATAACATAAATGGGCTCAGATCCTCAAACGATGAGCCCATTATACAGCACTTTCTATACATATCTCGCTTGGTAGGGTTTTCTTTTACACGCACGCAGCAGTCTTTCGCCTTTAAATCCTTTAACCCTAGAGATTAACCCTTTGCAACAAACATGGCGGAGAGAGGCGCAGGAGACCGTGGAGGCTTCGGTCGTGGTTTTGGAGGCCGTGGACGTGGTGGCGATAGGGGAGGTCGCAGAGGAGGTGGCCGCCGAGGCCGCCGTGACGCTGAGGAGAAGGACTGGGTGCCAGTGACAAAGCTCGGCCGTCTTGTGAGAGACGGAAAGATCAAATCCATAGAGCAAATCTACCTACACTCTCTTCCAATCAAGGAGTATCAAATCATCGACATCCTGATCGGTCCTAGTCTGAAAGACGAGGTAATGAAAATCATGCCGGTGCAGAAACAGACCCGGGCAGGTCAGAGAACAAGGTTCAAGGCTTTCGTGGTTGTCGGCGATGGCAACGGGCACGTAGGACTCGGTGTCAAGTGCTCGAAGGAGGTGGCCACTGCCATTCGTGGCTCTATTATTTTGGCCAAGCTCTCGATCATTCCCGTCAGGAGAGGGTACTGGGGGAACAAGATTGGCAAGCCACACACAGTCCCCTGTAAGGTCACCGGAAAGTGTGGTTCTGTCACTGTGCGGATGGTTCCTGCTCCCCGTGGTGCCGGGATTGTTGCTGCCCGGGTTCCAAAGAAGGTGCTCCAGTTTGCTGGTATTGAGGATGTCTTTACCTCTTCTCGTGGATCCACCAAAACCCTTGGGAACTTTGTCAAGGTCCAAGCTTTTGTATTTTTTTTTTAAAGCATCTCTTTATCACACATATTAATTGATCTTTACATGTTTAATTTTGGTTAAATTTGCGTAACTTCTATGTTAACATACTCAGACATTTCTCTGCATTCCAAGACACGAACAAACACAAACTTACATTTGATGATTTTTGGGTTCAATGTGCGATAATTGTCTATTGCTTTAACATGTGTAATTTTGTACCAGTAAAGCCATAGCAGTATCCTTTTGTCCAAATCCATGTAAATGTTCTTATGTCTGAAGGATATACTTAGACGAATTAAAATTCGTACAGAATTGGTTCAGATTCATCGGTTCAGTTATTGTTATAATGTGCATATTGGGATCAACACACAACTATGGTGCATATTGATCTTCTAATCTGTTTAAAATAATTGCCCTATTGTTCGATTTTTTGTTAACTGAACACTTTTGTGTGAATCTTGTATGTTACATTCAATCAAGATGGGGAACTTTTTATTGAATGCTTTATGCGAAGGACAATATCTGTAGTATACAATTAGCATTCATGATGAAATCATATTTGTTTGTTTTATGTCTTGTCTGTCTAGACTTCATGTTTTTGGGTCATTTTATTGGTGTTTGAAATATTAAAAGATGAACCTAAGATTGAATAATTAGCTAAATTTTTCTGTACTTTGAGAATTTGCATCTGGTGATATCCATGTATGCTCTGCGTGATATATGTACAGGACTTCTTTATGCTTCTTTTCATGTAGGGTGTTTCGTTCAATATCTTATTGCCTAGAGGCTTTGGAATTAGTACAGAACTAGATGTCGTGTTCTTATAAGTGCTACACTTGGGATTTCGGTTCCTCTAGAAGCACCAGTTCCTACTAATGCTTTTGAGTGACATTTCTATGTCAAGTTCACCTCATAAAGTTATATCTGATTTAGCTAATAATATGTTTTCTTGTCTTTGCAGGCGACCTTTGATTGTCTCTTGAAGACTTATGGTTTCCTTACCCCTGACCTTTGGAGGGAGACTCGCTTTGCAAAATCGCCTTACCAAGAGTACACTGATCTTTTGGCAAGGCCAACTGCTAAGGTTGTCCATGTGGTGGAGGATGCTGATGCTGCCTGAGCAATGTGGACTATGTTGTTATGGTAGGATTTTCCATTATCAAATACCAGTTTAAATTTTCATCAATGTTTAAGAGTCTTTTTAAGTCTACTATTTTATTGTGGAACTGTTTGTTTATCTAAATTGGGGAGGATGCTTGATTAAGTTTTGCTTTTATTGTAGTGAATTGTTTACTTTTTTTGGCACATGGTGGTGGTTTGTTACTTGTATAGTTTACGTTTTTCTTAATCCTTTTATATCTCCTGAAAGGCAAGAAACGAGATCCCCATCTTGACAGCTTGTCGATTATGTTAAGTTCCCGTTTGGTTTAGCTAACAAAGTTGATGAAATTTAAGTTAAAGAGTCTATAATTAATTTTAACACATTTTATGGACTCACAAGTTTCATCAAAATCAGTTTTTAGCAAAACCAAATAGGGGGTTTAAAACCATTATAGTATGCCGTAGATTGCAACCATAACATTGTATATCAACTGATCATATGGTTTTTATCGTTCTTGTCTTATTGCTCGAGTGTTTCTTATTGCTTTGGTGGAAAATTACTATCACTAGAAAGAGAAAACAAGGAACAATTTCGCAGTGGTGATTTTTATTAGATTTTGATGGTAAGTTGTGATTTAATGTGGTTGAAGGTTGATAAAATGTGTAATTGAAAATGAGTTTCAAGAAAGGAGGGCCGAATGGGTTTAAGAATAAAACCATGGTAATTTGCCTAGAAAGATGAAATAAATCTTTCATCCCTAATGTCTTTAAATAAATTTATTATTTTTGCATTGTCTTTTTCAAGATTAGTGGAAGAGTTGGTTGCTGGTGTGCCCAATTGATATATGTACTCAATCGTTATACATACAATTTATACATGGAAGTTAACGTGATTTTTAAATTAAATTAGAATAAGTGATGGATGTGTCAAATTTTAAAGAGTGCGACTTGTCTAACAATATATTTAGTACTTTCAAATTGTACTTGGGGTTTATTGTGTATGCCAAAAGAAATAATATGACAAGTATTTTCTAAACTTTAGTAGTACAGTGTTATGAGTGAGGCAGCCTTGTGTCTAAGAGTTTCTTTCCTTTCTCCTTCCTAGGACGATTACCCATTTGGAGAATAGTCTTCTCTTGTATTCCAAAATGTAAAAGACAGAAGGGCATTGAATACGAATAAACTCTTCTTTCTTTCATTCCTCTTCTTCAAATGCTTTCCCTTGGCTTCGGTGCCAGCTAAGACTGGTAGCATGCTTAATGGTAGCATGGTCTTCTCTTAGGCTTTCTCTTGGATTGTAGAATTATAAAAAAAATTTAACTTTAGACGCTAATTCTGAATCAGCATAAATCAAAACAGATTCATCATCATTTATTGTATGTCGAGTTATAAAATTCAGGAAGTAAATGTTTATATCCATCACATGATTTTAGTATTAAGTAAATGGAGTTCCATCTATGACTTAAATTAGTTACAAATTTTTTGGAATCTCGACCAAATTTTGCCCAATATTTTCTCAAGTGCATGTTTTCTACTTAGTGATGCGATGTAATATAAGTGCATCTCTAATTCTATCTGTTTGATCTTTAATATATTTTCATATTGTATTGCACAATTAAATTAAAAATATGATACGGAACGAAAATGAAAAAAAAAAAATCAAAATCAAAATCAGGATTAAGAACCATACACAAATATTTATAACAGGCTTATTAATATTAGCATTTTCAAATGTAAAAAAGTGAATTTTACTTTAATAACAATATTATTTAATAATTTGCATAAGAACGTTAAATATGTTGTTAACATTACGAGGATGCTCAATTATTATTATTTTAAAATTACTTTGTATGCATAACCTAAAGTTGGTCCATGTAATTTGCAATTACAACTAAATATCATTTTTTATTAATATATTCCCATAAATTCGAAGTAAATGATATAATACCATCATATATATGTAAGTCATGAATTATTTGTTTCTTCGTTTTAAGGAAATGATCTATGATATTAGAACGAAGAGCATTCCTACTTTACCCCAAAGTACCTAGGTTGAAGATATTCTTTCATAAATGTTGTAAGATGTTCGTTGTCTACTAGGCTTAGTGACAATTCAACACACAACAAACTTTACAATTCATTGACGAGTAGTTTCCACCGAATACATCCATGTGCTAAGTGTTGCAGAATCAGTATTGAAAGGAGTACAGATTGCAATTATGTTTGAGATCCACCAACCAACCCAAGTTTGGCTGTACATTTGAGCTAATGACAATTGAGATGGGCAGTATTGATACTCTTTTGTCATGTCTATCGTGTTTGATAGTATTTACAGGCTACTTTATATTCTTGAATTTTGTTGATTATACGGTCCGTCGAAATCAATTTAAAGTATTTTCAACTCTTTGTAGCTTTTTCTCCTTTCGCTTCCCCCTTGTATCGGGAATTTTTATTTTCGATTCTAAAGCTTCTTGATCAATGTCATTTAAATCAGAAGTATATCGTTGAGATTGATATATTCATTGTGAAAATTGAGATTGTAGCATTATGGGACAATGACCATCGAACAAACCTAATATATATATATATATATGGATCCATTCGTATATAATAGAATATAAATGTATAATGATTTAATAGAATTATAGTAGAGAATTTACATTGACTGAAGTTGAAATGTATAAATTGAGAGGGTGTTCGGTGGAGATTAAAATTGGCATTTTAGTATAATTTGATAGAAGTTTTTGAAATGTGTGGTTGAAAAGTAGTGAGACCCATGAAAGATATGTTTAATATTAATTATTTAACTTTAACTCTGATTAAAATATGAGCCAAACAGGGCTCAATAATGTAAAATGCAGAGAATATAATTGAGATTTGAATTGTATAAATAAGAAATGTAGAATGTATAAATTGAATTGAGATTTGAATTGTTTAAGAGTAATTTTTGTAGATGGAATGTAAAACAGATTTACAGATAATTTGTGTGAAAAATGGATTGAATAATGAAGTATTTGTAGATTTTTTTAATTTATATATTTTTTTATTTCAGTGGAACGGTCAATTCGTTGAAAACCAAAAAAGTGACCAAACAATCGCTCTTAGGCTAGTGGGTAGGGTTGGACAAAATTTACGAACTGAGCTGGACCAAATCGGGCCCAAACCTAATCGAGGGATTTTTCTTAGATTAAATACCTGAACGGGTATTTGACTCATGAATTGACGGGTTCAATTATGTTCTGTTCTCGATTCTAGATGAAAAACCTAATAACCAAATCTCCATAATCTTTTAATTAATTTATTTAAAATAATCCAAATTATTTTATTTTTTCCTAAATAAATTTGTTGACTAATTAATTTAGCTCAAACCCAAAAATATGATTTTTCAATTTCTAATTTTCAATCCAAGCACAACTTAAACAAATTAACCTAAGTTTTACCAAAATAAGTTATTATACTTTAGGGATGGCAATTGGGCTTATTGGCTTAGGTAACTCGTGGCTCGGCTCGAAAAGAGCTCGAGCTCGCCCGACTCAAAGCTCGGGTCAAGCCTTATTTTGGGGTGGTGGGCAAAGCTCGAACCGGCTCGTGTGGCTCGGGCTTACAAGCCTATATTTTTATTTTAAAAAAACATTAAAAAAAAATTATTTTAAATGCAGCGTGCTACTGCCATGTTTATAGATAATGATATAAAAAATAATAAATAATAAAAAAATTCAAATTCAGCAAAACACTGAGTCTGCCCTACTCAGCTCGGAAAGGCTCGAGCCGAAAACTCGGGTCGAGGTTTTCGGGTCGAGCCTATTTTTTTTTGGCTGAGCTTTTACTCGGGCCCAAAAAAAGGCTCGATCATTTTACTCGAGGCGAGCCCGAGCCTAAAATTTCGACTCGCGAGTGAGCTCGGCTCGACTCGTTGACATCCCTATTCTACTATAATGTTGTTTTCTATTGTTATGGAGAAATCAAATTAAAGTTCCACCACGACTTTCTTAATTATCATGAACTTGTTATCTTCTTTCTTTGATTTTAACAATCAAATCTATGAAGAATTTAACAAAAAGAGAGTAAAAGATACATAAAATTAGACTACATTATTTTGTAAGGGTTAAGATTGGACATATCATTAATTGAGTTAATATAGATTTGAAAATATTAAAAAATTTAATTATAGTACTAAACCTGAAAACCAAATGGAATCAAGCCAAACCAAATTGAACCAAATGGAATTGAATCCAATTGGTTCAATAATTAAATTTGGACCCGATGATTCCACATATTAAATACCGAAAAATTTCGGATTCGATTCGATTTTCTCTCGATTCTAAAAAGAATCGAACCAAAACGGACTATGTCTAGCTCTACTCGTGGGCTCACTCACAAGCTGCTATCCTAACTTGGCTCGTCGTTCAAGCCTTGCCGCTCTTTTGCCACTCGAACTCGTCCTGAAACAAACTTGAACCGTCCATGAGTCAAGTCCCAACGAACTTCTCAACTTGATTGCTATCTCTGCTCACATATGCCAAACAGCGGCCGAGTCTTCAATAAAATGTGACTCACTGGATTCAGGTCGGATCATAACATGGATTGTGTTTATGGACTGTCTTTTTAGTAGTTTTTTTTTTTTTTTTTTTTTTTTTTTGGTTAGTAGTTTTTTTTTTTTTTTTTTTTTAATTTTGGAGAAATTATAATGAGATGATTAGGGAAAAAAATAATAAAAATCACTATGGTCATAAATTCACAATAAATAGAAGAAGTGATAAATATGTATTAAATTAATACTCACGTGATTAATGAAATTTAATGAAAACGATTATTGTTTCTTATTTACTCATTTATTTTGAATTAATTTACTAGTTAAATATTGTTAATTCTTCCAACAAATCATGATTAGTTAACTTAATCTTAATAATGTGTTTTAACATTACTCAAAGCGATAGACGATAATAATACTATCGTTAATGTAAATGCATTTGTGGGAGCAATTCTTCTATCCAAAGATGCAATAGTGGGAGAAATCATCTTTACCATCATTAATTTCTTGTTTTTTAAGACTTTAGGGGGAAAAAAATAATCCTGTCTTTGTCTTCTGCTTGTTAAGCATGGATTGAACTACACACACCCTCTTTCACTCTGAAGATATTTCAAGCTTTACTGTTGAAGATCCACTAATTTCGAAAGAATTTATAAATAATTTAGCTTCCGTTTAACAAATTTATAAAAATTTTATAAATAAGAATGGTAAGAAAAATAGTAATACATTTCACGAAGTGGGTGATATGTAAACGAAATTAATGTTTGACTTCAACTAAATAAAATTAAGTGGTGGATAAATGGATAGTATTTGTGGATTTATTAAAATATGTAGTTGAAAATGAAATTTGATAATTTATAAAATAAAGTTTGTCAAATAGAGGCTAATATCACTTTATGTTGGTGTTAATATACTGTTCTATCTAGTTTTAATAACTTCATTAGTATTCTTTATGAGGAAATAACGATATTATTTAAGAAGAAAATCTTTTAGTACTTGAATGCAATTGTACATTTTGTATTGCGGATGATTTTTATTGGACAGAATGCACTAAATGATTGTTCGTCTTATCCAAATTTAACTATGGAATTATTCGTGTTAAGTTCCATTCTGCTCTCGGGTTCCGTATAATAATTATTTTTTATATTTACAACACTACATTAATTCAACTATGGCATGTTAAATCTTAATTCTTACAAAATAATGTTGTCTAATCCCGTTATATATTTTGCTCATTTCTTTATTGAGTTCTTCATAGATTTGACAATTAAAATTACAAGAATAGAAAGATGGCGAGCTTACAATAATGAAGATATGCATAGTCAAGCTTCCAATTCGATTTATCCAGAACGGCAGAAATGGTAAAATAAGATTTTTAGGTAAAGCTTGGGTCAATTTGATTAAATTGAACTTGATTGGAAATTAGAAATAAGAAACGTGAAAATTACACCCCATCTATACGTTTTAAGATTCAATGTCAAAAATCAGATCCAAAGTTTACTTATTCAAAAATCAGATTATAATTAAAAATTTTAATATTAATAATTATATTACAAAATAAGATTCATATGCGTATACAAGCACATCCGGCGTAGAGGCGCGGCATCTGAGGCATAGCCGTCACATCACGCAGCTGCAACGCGGCATCTTAGCGTTCAAATGAGCAGCTCTGCATAGCGTCGCGCGGCAACTGCACCTCTATGCGCGAATGAGTAGCTGTGTGCAGCGACAATCCAGTTGTTTGAGGACGGTGCAGATCCATTACTCTTCATTTTTTTTTTTAGATTTTTGAGTGGTAAGGTGATTGATGGTTCTATGGTGGTAATGATGGGTTAGTTTTGCTATTACGGTGGTGGTGGAGCTGTGCGGTACAGTGGTGGGAATGAAGAGCTTTGTGGGTACAGGGTGGCGCGCAACTGTGGCGATGTGTGTGTGTGTGTGGTTGTGTTGCTGTAGGTACAGTTGTGGTGCTATGGGTGCGATGGTGGTGCGGTGGTTGGAGGGGGTGTGTGTGTGTTCATGCAACGGTGGTGGTCGTAGTGGTGGTTGAGGTGGTGATGGTGAGATGCTGGTGGAAATGGGTTTGTCTGGATGGTGGATCTGACGCGATGATGTGGTGGTGTTTTTTTGCAATGTGTTGATTTGTTTGTGGTGGTGGTGGAGGTGGTGGTGAGATAGCAGTCGTAAGTGTTGGTAGTGGTGGTGTGCTGGAGGTAGTGGTGAGATGGCAGTCGCAAGTGTTGTGGTGGTCATAAATTAGTTGGTTGACTGTGACAATTAAATTGGTTAATATGTGACCAATAAACAAAATATAACCAATGAAAAATAAAAATTGTGATCAAGAAATTATGTGTTACCTAAAAAATTCTTAATTTATGACCGATAATTTGATAATTTATGATTTATAATAAGTTGTGACTTATAATGTTTGTGATTTTTCATTGATAAATAAATAGACCTATAAATTTTTTGATTTTTGATCGATAAACAAATTGTGATCCATAAAATTTTTGAATTGTGATCGTAAAATAATTTATGATATATAAACTTCTAATTTGTGATCGAAAAATAATATATGATGAACTAAATCATTAATTTGTGACCAAATTGTATAGATCTGTGACTTTAATATATTTAATTAATAAAATATAATTAATTAATTAAATCATAAATAAATTTTAATAAATATTTGTTTTTGAAATTTGAAACCTTTGTTCTTAATTTTGAAATGAATGATACTTAATATCTTAATTATGAATTTTTTCTCATAAGAAAATCATATTTTGGGTTTTTGCTAATTAGTTAGCAAATTTATTTATTTTTTATAAAAATAATGGCTTATTTGAGAGTTATATAAAAAAAAAAAAGGTAAAAAAAAAATTAGAGAAATTCGGTTCTTATTCAATTATTTGGTTCTTCATCTTGAACCGAGAATCAAACTAAAATCGTTTGTTCTTGATTTAGATACTCATTTGGATATTTAACTTAAGAAAAACTACTCGATTCAGGTCCGTTCGGTCTGATTCGGTTAGAGAGTTTTATCCATCCCTAATCAAATATCTGATTAAAAGGTTTTTATTTTTAATTTTCAGTTTTTTGTTTTTCTCAGGTACGACCACTACTTTGAAATTTATGGTTGTAACTTAAGTTTTAAATTTTGAAAACTTGAAATTGATTTTAATTTTCAGTTTTTCTTTATTATAATATTCAGATTAAATAGAAAATTAAAAGCCATAATTATACATTTTAACTTACACTTTAATTAAATTTATTCTTGTTAGTACGGGGGTTTAAGATGTCCACTATAAAAGGGAGGAGATTTTATAATTTGGATATAGTATTAAAACACGCAACTTGAGATACTTGAATATAAAAATACTCCATCTATATTTTATATAGTTATGGCAACTCGATAAAAGACTCGTTCTTTATCTGCCCACGGTCGTGCCCATAAATTGATGAGAATGCGGTTGAGGGCAACATCAAACTGGGGGACATACATCACATCTCCTACAATTGCTTCAACAAAAAACAATCACCAAATGTCCCAAACGCTAATGTTGGGAATGCGCTCATGGGCAGCCTCTTTAATGTTGGGATTTCAGTCACTGCCCTACTTACAATTGATTGGGTTGTCGAACATATAATTGGACGATATTTTTCCCATAAGGAGGACTTAAAATAGGAAAATACACGTTTTCTCTTACAAAGAAATTCGAATTGAATGTGAAGAAATCAAGTGCGAGTTTCTTGAAGCTAGCATGCATTGATGGCAATTGTAATTGGTAATTGTGTGCTTCAAAGTTCAAGACGTTAGATGATCTTAGGGTATATTTGATTGGTTAATTTTTTCCATGGAACTTTTAGTTGTTTAATAGGGTTTAATTTTCCATGGAATTTAGATTCTTGGTTTTATTGGGAAGTACAATTTTCTTGCTTTCGTGGGAAGTTAATGTTCACATTTTTTTTTAATTTTTTATTTTCTTGGCAGTGGAAACAAATTTTAAAAATTATTGTAAAAAAAAATATTTTCCTTTGATTGATAATTTTCATGTAAAACAAATTCAAACGAACACCAAAAGATAGATGATTTTCTTGATTTTTTTTTTTTTTGACAATGAAAACAAATTTCATTTCCAATACCAGTAAAATTTATATTTTTAATTGACAATTTTTATGTAAAACAAAGCCAAACGAACACCAAAAAACACTTTTATTTCAATATTTTCCACTTGAAAAATTATACCAATCAAACACAATAATTTACAATTCACAGAAAAACAATTTCTAGGCAATTCAATTCCCTGAAATTCGTTTTCAATTCAATTCAATTTTATCTTTGCTATCAAACGGACCCTTACGTTTAAAAGTCCGAAATGTTAGCATATTTCATGGAGAACAAAACTGAATATGCAGTAAAATAGAAACATGAATGTTTAAAATGTATGAGTGTTTATCTTTATTTTATTAGACTAGTTTATCTTGATTTTGTCAAAATTCGAACTAAGGTTTCCATCCAAACCAGTGTTAAAAGAGTTCTATGCATTTCGTTAATTAGTGTGCATCGGTGGTCAAGGCATTTGCTACTTCATGCAATACAAGCCGGAGAACGAGGAACGGGGGGACCGCTGAGCATAGAGCACAAGAATGAGGTGATGCCTACCCGTTTCATGTTTGATTTCTGAAATCCAGATCTACGAAATGATTCATATCTACTCATCTGCTTCTCCGTAAATTGAGAAAGAATATTCCTGGAAAAGAAAATGAGTTGTTATGAACTTTAGAACGAACAAAAAGAGAAATGTAAATTTTAAAATGAGAACTAAAGAAGTGAAGGTCAAGTTATATATTTACAAGATAAAACCCGTAAACCTTCACATTTTGATTTACCAGATCAATGGAAACACAAATAAATCTTGAATATAGATTGACTCAGTCATAAAAAGTTTCATTTCTATATTCTTCATTTTCGTTTTGATTCTCTCTTCAATTAGATAAAACACCACTGAGGTGACTGCTATAATTCTTGTTATTTTGAGAACTAATGCAATGTCATTCTATTCTTAATGAAATTTCACGGACCAAGAAATCAATGATATCATGACATCAGTTTGATACTGACATTACGTATGCGAAATAACAATTCATCCAGAAAGAATTGGGAAAAATGAAATGAACCAGTTAACTCACTGCATAATGGCTGTTTTATCGGGATCGCCACTAGAAGGGAACTTGCCCAGCTCAACATCCATGTTCTCTTCTTCTTCTTCCTCATCTTCTTCTTTGGACTTTCCAGTAGGGCCAGTAGTCCCAATGGGGTTTGAAGCAGGTGCAGATGTTGAAGGGTCTGTATGACGAAGATCATTACTGATGTCATCATCACCACCACCACCCAGAGTTAGGCCACCTGGAGTTTGCGCCTCAGTCTCATCAGGGCTAGTGGGTGATTCAGGGGGTGATTCATCTTGCTCCACAAATGCAATTTCAAAAGGATCCTTGGATTTCTTCATTTGGAAATCTACCAACCAACATCATCAATAGACAATTATTCAAATCAAGAAGTGAAAGCATATATTTTGTATAAGAGTGACACTGACAGGTACAATTTAGGTAAAATAGAGGGTATGACGCACAAATTTCAAATATATTCTGCTAGGATAAGATTCATTTACTCCCTATTATTATACTAACATCACTTGACATGTAGTTCAAAAGAGATAAGTCCGTTTGCCCGTAGAGATAGAGTTTCTCTGGTAATTAAGTAATGCTAACTTCCTATACGAAAGAAGCAGCAGGAAACAGCTGTCCCTATTGTATTTTAGATGGAATCATCAACAGTGCTAAGAATCTTGGCAATGATGGAGCTTCCGAAAGAATTCAGACTCTAAAACCCAAAACTTAGAGGTTTTGGCTGGCTTGACATCCATAGCTCGGTAAGCTCCCCGAGAAGATGCAACAATCTCCATTTATGAGGCTTGACTTTCTGGAATTAGGGAAAAAGTTCTAAGCATGGGCGGCATCAATTTGGTTTATCAAAAGTAATATCCTAGTGGAAAATGATAATTTCGAGTTTTCAACGATAGCATAAGTAAATGTCAACATTTTTCATGCACCGCAATTTTTATGCAATAGCATATCGGGGCCATCCAATCTGGACCAAGGGGAGCAGTGACAGCTAATTCAGCAATGGCCGTCCAATTGGCATAGTGCCTCATTGAGGCCAGGCACAAGCCTAATTTAGGCACTTTGGGGCTTAGACCACACCTCAACACAAAACAATTTCCTCAACAGTAATTGAGAAATAATTAGAGAATGTATACATTGCAGCAGAAAACCCAGATCAAGAATCAACATTAACATTGCATAAGCTTGTATTAAAAGGAAAAGAGGGCATCCCAAATACGAGAAAACAACGCAGGAAAAAAACGAGACGATAAAAGCAAAAAGGAAAAAAGAAAAGAAGAAACCAAAAGCAAGTAAATACAACTGCAGAAGAAAAATTAAAAGAAAGATAGGAAGAAAGAACCAACACCCGGATAAAAGGGAAAAAATGGAAAATCCAAGAGCAGGCGAGAAGAAGATTGGACTATGGAAAATAAAAGAATAAGGGGAATTACCTGTACCCTACAGCCGTTTAAAAAATCCCCCAGTAGCTGTTGGATTCGCCGGAGCAGTGGGTCTCTCGAGTCTCAAGTTTCCCGACGGCTGTTTGAGTGGCAATAGGGAGGTTTTACTGTTGGGTCATAATATTGAAACCGCCTTGGGAAAAGTACACTAGAGAAAACTTTTCAAGATGTTAATTTAATTATTAATATTAGTAATAATAATAATATAGCACCGTTTGGCCGTCATTAATTTTCATTATATTTTATTTTATTTTTTTCTATTTATAATCAGACAATCTTTTATAAAATAATATTACAAATAAATTGAAAATTTTTCCTGTCACTCATCTTTTACAAAAATATTATTCTACCCATTTTTATTTCTACAAAATAGGGCCAAATGGGGCATAAAATTTATACAACTTCATCTCAATCCAACTTAATCCCAAACCCTAAAATTCATCTCTCCATCTTCTCACCTCTTACCCTCTCCACCTAACTCGCAATTCCGACACTGTCATACCCACTACCAAAGACCACTACCGAGCTCACAATGACGGTTTCTTTCCCCACCCCACATCGACACCCAATCCAATGGTTCTTCATTGCGCGCCCACTCTGACCAATCTTCACATCACAGCAGCGTGCTCCTTCATGTTAGGCGCCGTCGCTTCATGGCAACATCAACGCTGCGAGCTGCTATGGCTCTTCTCCGTGTTAGGGGTTTTGTTGTTTCGCGCGTGACTATCGCTAGCAAGCAGAGATGAGATCAATTTTTTCCTTCGTGCATAGTGACATAGTTATGTTCTTTTTTTTTTATTTGAGTTTGATTTCTTTGAAATGAATGACATGGAGCTGTGGCAGATGTCAGAGAGAGGTTATGGAGGTGGAGGTGGAGGTGGAGGCGGTGGGGGACTTGATGATTTTGTTGGTGGGATGGTGGCTGTGGTATGCTAATATTGGGAGACATGGTGATTTTAGCAGGCGACGGTGGTACGATCATTGATTGGAGGTGGAGGTAGAGGTGGAGGTGGAGAGTGGCTTGTTAGAGCAAAATGCAGTAACGATGTTTGTGGTGGTAGACCTGTTGGAGGCGATAGTGAGGGCAATGTGATCTGGTGACGATTTTTTTGTGGTGGTGTAGGTAAATGCGTTGATGGTGGTGCTGACGATTGTAATGGTGATGCTAATGGCGGTTGTGGTGTGATGCTAGCGATGGTGGTAACAAGTGGCGGTGGTCGTAGTTGTAGTGTTGGTGACCGTGGTGTGTGACATATTATCTGGGGGAGATTTTTATAAATGACCTGCCACTATTCATTTTTAATAAAATGTCTATAATACCCTTAATGAAAGGATTTGTCATATTTTGCACAAGATATCCTTAATTCATTGGGATAATTCTAAAATTTCTCTATTTCTTTCATTTCGAATTTTAATATATAGTTCCATCTTTTGATCTAATAAATTAGCATAATCTGTAATATAATTGTCATGTAATTTACTAAGATTATCATATTCCTTAGATGAAATATCCATAGTCTCTAGTTGAGCAAAAATATTTCTTATTTTCCTTAATAGTTTTTCTAACAGATTATCTAATTCTTTAATTGTATAATCTGGCATTATTCAGATAATTCCTTGCAAGCTTTATAAATAATAATAACATGTTAAATAAGTTTTTTGCAAACATGAAAAGTAATAATCCCTACGATTCTTTCAAGATATTAGAAGAATTCTTTCTAAATTTAACAAAGACAATAATTTTACCTTACTTTTGATCTTAAATCTGTATTCTTAGAATCGAGTGACCTTCAGACTCTGAATCTGCAAACTGCTCCCTCAAACGGCCTCTTGCCTCAATGGGAATTCTGCTATTTCAGCTTCTTGCCCTCACTGTATCTTTTCTTAGAATTAAGAATAAAGATTTTAAGTAAAGAAAATTCTCTCTTTGTTAAAGTAAGAAAGAAATTATCTTCTTCAATCTATCCAGAATCTATGGGATAGGAAGTTTAGAAACTCATATCTTTCTGATATCAAAAAATTGAAATTTTATTTCTATAATGATTTATACAAGATTTCTATTGTATACAAGGGGTTGCTAGAAAAACTGATTTTGAAAAAAGCTTAAGGAAAGAGAATGGTTTCTAACTCGAGATGATTCATTCTTTTCCCAAATACCTCTATTTATACATGACTCAAACTCACTATTATTGATCTATTATATCATTGCATACATCAGAATTTTGAAAAAACGGCTCACATGCCTCTCTATTCTTTTCCTCCTGGGGTCTACATTTTTACATGCATTCTTTGCCTTTCCATCAAAAGGGCATCTTTTTCTCTATTATTGCCTTTCCATCTTTGGCTCCTTATGCAGCTGGCTAGATGCTTTGGTAGTGGTAGGTCCCCTTTTATCTATCTCCATTCATCTTTTATCTTGAAGAATCAATCTTTTAATCTTGTCTACATGTGGGGCACTCCCTCAATCTACATGATTCTTGAATTGTTGTAGGACTTCCATTAATTTGATGAGTATCAAATTTTTGGATATATTCTTTCAAAATGGTAGATTTTTTTTTTCCATTATTCATAAGGAGTGTCCATCCTTCATATTGGCACAAGCATCTGAATTTTTTATCATATAAATTCTTTGCAATGTTGTAAAGAACTTTCATCCCCAAAACTCTTCGAGATTTTATCCATGATTTATTGATTTTAGGCAATGGTTTATTATTTCGGCCAACTTCAATCTGGAAATCTCGGCCAACATATCCAATTGTAATAATATGTTCAGCAGGATAATATATCCTTCCATCAACCTCGGGACTTATTGAATAAAATTTAATATAAATCGACCTCCCTTGGGCAAATTTTGAAACTTCTGTCCTGAATATATCATCAAAATTTTCAATTTCTTTTAAATCTTTTCCTAGATAGATCAAATCCAAAAATCCATAATCTGTTGCTATTTTGACCATGAAAGGGTCTGCATCTTTGGTAATTATTAATCTGGGATAAACATGATCTCCCGATGCAATAAAATATGATTCATTTTCTTCCAATTCATAAACAATTTTGGCAAATGATCTATATTCTTCTTCTTTTGATGATAAAGGAGTATCATCATCTTCATCAGTTTTGATTCTTATTACTCTTGTATGTTCATCACCATTTTTTATAGTCACCTTCCGGGGACTTGCTATGTCTCGTTTGATATTGCTGGGTCCACTACTGCTTCCTGGCTGTGTACCTGTTTGTATTTTTGAGATTGTATCAATTGGTATTTCCTATTTGGTATCTAATGACTCGAATTGTGAAGTAATATCAACAATTCTGTCATTCAATTCTTTGGTATATTTGGAATGAGAATTAGAGATTTCCACCAACAATTTGACATTTTGTTGGATAGATTCTGTCATTTCCTCTAACTGCTCAATTCCAATTTTCATATCTTCAGATTCTTCCATGAGGAATTTCATTCGTCTGTTGACGTCTATTAATGCATTTTTGATATTATCCATCTCCGAATTCGATATTCCTGCTCAAAAAATCTGCAAGATTCTTATTTACTCATTTATTTTGAATTAATTTACTAGTTAAATATTGTTAATTCTTCCAACAAATCATGATTAGTTAACTTAATCTTAATAATGTGCTTTAACATTACTCAAAGCGATAGACGATAATAATACTATCATTAATGTAAATTCATTAGTAGGAGCAATTCTTCTATCTAAAGATGCATTTGTGGGAGAAATCATCTTTACCATCATTAATTTCTTGTTTGTTAAGACTTTAGGGGAAAAAATCCTGTCTTTGGCTTCTGCTTGTTAAGCATGAATTGAGCTACACACACCCTCTTTCACTCTGAAGATATTTCAAGCTTTACTGTTGAAGATCCACTAATTTCGAAAGAATTTATAAATAATTTAGCTTCCGTTTAACAAATTTATAATTTTTTTTATAAATAAGAATGGTAAGAAAAATAGTAATATATTTCACGAAGTGGGTGATATGTAAACGAAATTAATGTTTGATTTCAACTGAATAAAATTAAGTGGTGGATAAATGGATAGTATTTGTGGATTTATTAAAATATGTAGTTGAAAATGAAATTTGATAATTTATAAAATAAAGTTTGTCAAATAGAGGCTAATATCACTTTATGTTGGTGTTAATATAATGTTCTATCTAGTTTTAATAACTTCATTAGTATTCTTTATGAGGAAATAACGATATTATTTAAGAAGAAAATTTTTTAGTACTTGAATGCAATTGTACCTTTTGTATTGCTAATGATTTTTATTGGAAGGAATGCACTAAATAATAGTAAATCGACTGGGTCCAAATTTAATTATGGAATTGTTCGTGTTAAGTTCCATTCTACTCTCGGGTTCCGTATAATAATTATTTTTTATATTTACAACACTACATTAATTCAACTATGGCATGTTAAATCTTAATTCTTACAAAATAATGTTGTCTAATCCCGTTATATATTTTGCTCATTTCTTTATTGAGTTCTTCATAGATTTGACAATTAAAATTACAAGAATAGAAAGATGGCGAGCTTACAATAATGAAGATATGCATAGTCAAGCTTCCAATTCGATTTATCCAGAACGGCAGAAATGGTAAAATAAGATTTTTAGGTAAAGTTTGGGTCAATTTGATTAAATTGAACTTGATTGGAAATTAGAAATAAGAAACGTGAAAATTACACCCCATCTATACGTTTTAAGATTCAATGTCAAAAATCAGATCCAAAGTTTGCTTATTCAAAAATCAGATTATAATTAAAAATTTTAATATTAATAATTATATTACAAAATAAGATTCACATGCATATACAAGCACATCCGGCGTCGAGGCGCGGCATCTGAGGCATAGCCGTCACATCATGCAGCCGCAACGCGGCATCTTAGCGTTCAAATGAGCAGCTCTGCATAGCTTCGTGCCGCGATTGCACCTCTATGTGCGAATGAGTAGCTGTGCGCAGCGACAATCCAGTTGTTTGAGGACGATGCAGATCCATTACTCTTCATTTTTTTTAGATTTTTGAGTGGTAAGGTGATTGATGGTTCTGTGGTGGTAATGATGGGTTAGTTTTGCTATTACGGTGGTGGTGGAGCTGTGCGGTCCAATGGTGGGAATGAAGAGCTTTGTGGGTACAGGGTGGCGCGCAACTGTGGCGATGTGTGTGTGTGGTTGTGTTGCTGTAGGTACAGTTGTGGTGCTATGGGTGCGATGGTGGTGCGGTGGTTGGAGGGGGGGTGTGTGCGCGCATGCAACGGTGGTGGTTGAGGTGGTGATGGTGAGATGTTGGTGGAAATGGGTTTATCGGGATGGTGGATCTGACGCGATGATGTGGTGGTGTTTTTTTGCAATGTGTTGATTTGTTTGTAGTGGTGGTGGTGGTGGAGGTAGTGGTGAGATAGCACTCACTAGTGTTAGTAGTGGTGGTGTGCTGGAGGTAGTGGTGAGATGGCAGTCGCAAGTGTTGTGGTGGTCATAAATTATTTGGTTGATTGTGACAATTAAATTGGTTAATCTATGACCAATAAACAAAATATGACCAATGAAAAATAAAAATCTTGATCAAGAAATTATGTGTTACCTAAAAAATTCTTAATTTATGACCGATAATTTGATAATTTATGATTGTATAATAAGTTGTGACTTATAATGTTTGTGATTTTTGATTGATAAATAAATAGAGACCTATAATTTTTTTGATTTTTGATCGATAAACAAATTGTGATCCATAAAATTTTTGAATTGTGATCGTAAAATAATTTATGATATATAAACTTCTAATTTGTGATCGAAAAATAATATATGATGAACTAAATCATTAATCTGTGACCAAATTGTATAGATCTGTGACCTTAATATTTTTAATTAATAAAATATAATTAATTAATTAAATCATAAATAAATTTTAATAAATATTTGATTTTTGAAATTTGGAACCTTTGTTCTTAATTTTGAAATGAGTGATACTTAATCTCTTAATTATGAATTTTTCTCATAAGAAAATCATATTTTGGGTTTTTGCTAATTAGTTAGCAAATTTATTTATTTTTTCATAAAAATAATGGCTTATTTGAGATTTTTTTTTAAAAAAAGGTAAAAAAAAATTTGAAAAATTCGGTTCTTATTCAATTATTTGGTTCTTCATCTTGAACTGAGAATCGAACTAAAATCTTCTGTTCTCGATTTAGATACTCATTTAGATATTTAACTTAAAAAGAACCATTCAATTCAGGTCCGTTCGGTCTGATTCGGTTAGAGAGTTTTATCCATCCCTAATCAAAAATCTGATTAAAAGGTTTTTATTTTTAATTTTCAGTTTTTTGTTTTTCTCAGGTAGGACCACTACCTTGAAATTTATGGTTGTAACTTAAGTTTTAAATTTTGAAAACTTGAAATTGATTTTAATTTTCAGTTTTTCTTTATTATAATATTCAGATTAAATAGAAAATTAAAAGCCATAATTATACACTTTAACTTACACTTTAATTAAATTTATTCTTGTTAGTACGGGGGTTTAAGATGTCCACTAGAAAAGGGAGGAGCTTTTATAATTTGGATATAGTATTAAAACACGCAACTTGAGATACTTGAATATAAAAATATTTCTTCTATATTTTATATAGTTATGGCAACTCGATGAAAGACTTGTTCTTTATCCGCCCACGGTCGTGCCCATAAATTGATGAGAATGCGGTTGAGGGCAACATCAAACTGGGGGACATACATGACATCTCCTACAATTGCTTCAACAAAAAACAATCACCAAATGTCCCAAACGCTAATGTTGGGAATGCGCTCATGGGCAGCCTCTTTAATGTTGGGATTTCAGTCACTGCCCTACTTACAATTGATTGGGTTGTCGAACATATAATTGGACGATATTTTTCCCATAAGGAGGACTTAAAATAGGAAAATACACGTTTTCTCTTACAAAGAAATTCTAATTGAATGTGAAGAAATCAAGTATGAGTTTCTTGAAGCTAGCATGCATTGATGGCAATTGTAATTGGTAATTGTGTGCTTCAAAGTTCAAGACGTTAGATGATCTTAGGGTATATTTGATTGGTTAATTTTTTCCATGGAACTTTTAGTTGTTTGATAGGGTTTAATTTTCCATGGAATTTAGATTCTTGGTTTTATTGGGAAGTACAATTTTCTTGCTTTCGTGGGAAGTTAATGTTCACATTTTTTTTTAATTTTTTATTTTCTTGGCAAACAAATTTTAAAAATTATTGTAAAAAAAAATATTTTCCTTTAATTGATAATTTTCATGTAAAACAAATTCAAACGAATACCAAAAGATAGATGATTTTCTTGATTTTTTTTTTTTTGGCAATGAAAACAAATTTCATTTCCAATACCAGTAAAATTTATATTTTTAATTGACAATTTTTATGTAAAACAAAGCCAAACGAACACCAAAAAACACTTTTATTTCAATATTTTCCACTTGAAAAATTATACCAATCAAACACAATAATTTACAATTCACAGAAAAACAATTTCTAGGCAATTCAATTCCCTGAAATTCGTTTTCAATTCAATTCAATTTTATCTTTGCAATCAAACGGACCCTTACGTTTAAAAGTCCGAAATGTTAGCATATTTCATGGAGAACATAACTGAATATGCAGTAAAATAGAAACATGAATGTTTAAAATGTATGAGTGTTTATCTTTATTTTATTAGACTAGTTTATCTTGATTTTGTCAAAATTCGAACTAAGGTTTCCATCCAAACCAGTGTTAAAAGAGTTCTATGCATTTCGTTAATTAGTGTGCATCGGTGGTCAAGGCATTTTTTGCTTCGACTGTGTGTCAACGATCGAGGCTCGAATATTAAAAATACGTGGCCCTTTTTCTAGCTTACGTTGAGCCCAAGTGCACGACAAGTATTTCTGTACATAACATTAGTTGTCGAAGTCCAAGTTTCATATTTATGTGAAAAGAAGGATTTTTGATGTTCTGTTATTACTAGTGTCGAAATTCTTGAATTGTTTGTTTAGATCACCGTACAACTTCTACCGTTTGTTCAAAGTATTATACTAATGGAGATCGAAGCAAATAAATGAGCATTTATACTGAAGGAAAGCTCGGAGTTTGAATAATTGGGTAACTTTTTAAATCAGGGATATTCTTTTCAAGTGGATATTTTAACTAGAAATCCGACCTAGCCATCCTTTCAACTTCTCAATCTCATGCTATATAATGATTTGGAAGTAGATATCTAACCCCTCTTTAAGGATAAGGATTTTTCTTTGACATTAAACTGATGTAAAATGAGTATCAGATTACTCTTTATGATCATTGATAACTAGCCTGGTGTTGGACAAATAAATAAATATTTTCATGTTTCTTCAGTTACCCAAAATATAATACTCTATTATGGGGAGTTGTTGATGGCTAAAATGCTATCAAAGCATGGTTTGTAGTGTCAACATTGTAACATTTTCTTCATCTGGATTATGATCTGTGCGAGTTTGTTTCAACTTGTACAAAATCATTTATAAACTTTCCATTTTAGTCCTGAAATGTTGAAATTCATTCATTATTGAACTCCTGTGCAATTTTTTATGATCTGGGCAAGCCATGGAGCAAATATTTATGTGCAAATACAAGCATCCTTGCCGAACTGTTAAGGTCATATTTACCAGGAAAAGATGACGGATCTTGAAGTTCGGTAAGAGTACACCATGGAATACTGCAAGTTACTACCAGATTCTTTTAGCGGAAAAGCCTTGGCACTGATCTTTTTGGAATCTTACCTTCAAGTTTTAGTCTTCTATACGCTTCTCTGATGTGGCACGGCCTGATTGGCCCAGACTCCCTTCTCTCTGCCATCACTATTCTGGCTGCAAAATTGTAGAGCTTCATTACAGTCATATTGTTGTATTTTTTATTTCAGAGTATGACACATAGGACATATAAAGCTTTCTGTTCACCATTAGCAATAGAATCTCTCAAACCTAAAAATGAATAGAGAAAAAAAATTTAAGCTTATAACTACTACCGAATACTAAATCAGCATACCTGTTTCAACAAGCTCCCCAACGAACATTTTTGCTATTCCAGATACCACGATTGTCGTAGGCATAGAAATTTTGGCACTTCCAGTTATGCTTGTCAATAACTGCAATTAGAACACGGTAAAAGATTGCAACAATGGCCGTTTGCTACTTCATGCAATACAAGCCGGAGAACGAGGAACGGGGGGACCGCTGAGCATAGAGCACAAGAATGAGGTGATGCCTACCCGTTTCATGTTTGATTTCTGAAATCCAGATCTACGAAATGATTCATATCTACTCATCTGCTTCTCCGTAAATTGAGAAAGAATATTCCTGGAAAAGAAAATGAGTTGTTATGAACTTTAGAACGAACAAAAAGAGAAATGTAAATTTTAAAATGAGAACTAAAGAAGTGAAGGTCAAGTTATATATTTACAAGATAAAACCCGTAAACCTTCACATTTTGATTTACCAGATCAATGGAAACACAAATAAATCTTGAATATAGATTGACTCAGTCATAAAAAGTTTCATTTCTATATTCTTCATTTTCGTTTTGATTCTCTCTTCAATTAGATAAAACACCACTGAGGTGACTGCTATAATTCTTGTTATTTTGAGAACTAATGCAATGTCATTCTATTCTTAATGAAATTTCACGGACCAAGAAATCAATGATATCATGACATCAGTTTGATACTGACATTACGTATGCGAAATAACAATTCATCCAGAAAGAATTGGGAAAAATGAAATGAACCAGTTAACTCACTGCATAATGGCTGTTTTATCGGGATCGCCACTAGAAGGGAACTTGCCCAGCTCAACATCCATGTTCTCTTCTTCTTCTTCCTCATCTTCTTCTTTGGACTTTCCAGTAGGGCCAGTAGTCCCAATGGGGTTTGAAGTAGGTGCAGATGTTGAAGGGTCTCTATGACGAAGATCATTACCGATGTCATCATCATCACCAACATCCAGAGTGAGGGCACCTGGAGTTTTTGCCTCAGTCTCATCAGGGCTAGTGGGTGATTCAGGGGGTGATTCATCTTGCTCCACAAATGCAATTTCAAAAGGATCCTTGGATTTCTTCATTTGGAAATCTACCAACCAACATCATCAATAGACAATTATTCAAATCAAGAAGTGAAAGCATATATTTTGCATAAGAGTGACACTGACAGGTACAGTTTAGGTAAAATAGAGGGTATGACGCACAAATTTCAAATATATTCTGCTAGGATAAGATTCGTTTACTCCCTATTATGATACTAACATCACTTGACATGTAGTTCAAAAGAGATAAGTCCGTTTGCCCGTAGAGATAGAGTTTCTCTGGTAATTAAGTAATGCTAACTTCCTATACGAAAGAAGCAGCAGGAAACAGCTGTCCCTATTGTATTTTAGATGGAATCATCAACAGTGCTAAGAATCTTGGCAATGATGGAGCTTCCGAAAGAATCCAGACTCTAAAACCCAAAACTTAGAGGTTTTGGCTGGCTTGACATCCATAGCTCGGTAAGCTCCCCGAGAATGAGGCTTGACTTTCTGGAATTAGGGAAAAAGCTCTAAGCATGGGCGGCATCAATTTGGTTTATCAAAAGTAATATCCTAGTGGAAAATGATAATTTCGAGTTTTCAACGACAGCATAAGTAAATGTCAACATTTTTCATGCACCGCAATTTTTATGCAATAGCATAACGACCCATCCAATCTGGACCAAGGGAAGCAGTGACAGCTAATTCAGCAATGGCCGTCCAATTGGCATATTGCCTCATTGAGGCCAGGCACAAGCCTAATTTAGGCACTTTGGGGCTTAGACCACACCTCAACACAAAACAATTTCCTCAACAGTAATTGAGAAATAATTAGAGAATGTATACATTGCAGCAGAAAAACCAGATCAAGAATCAACATTAACATTGCATAAGCTTGTATTAAAAGGAAAAGAGGGCTTCCCAAATACAAGAAAACAACGCAGGAAAAAAACGAGACGATAAAAGCAAAAAGGAAAAAAGAAAAGAAGCAACCAAAAGCAAGTAAATACAACTGCAGAAGAAAAATTAAAAGAAAGATAGGAAGAAAGAACCAAGACCCGGATAAAAGGGAAAAAATGGAAAATCCAAGAGCAGGCGAGAAGAAGATTAGACTATGGAAAATAAAAGAATAAGGGGAATTACCTGTACCCTACAGCCGTTTAAAAAAGCGCCCAGTAGCTGTTGGATTCGCAGGAGCAGTGGGTCTCTCAAGTCTCAAGTTTCCCGACGGCTGTTTGAGTGGCAATAGTGAGGTTTTACTGTTGGGTCATAACATTGAAACCGCCTTGGGAAAAGTACACTAGAGAAGACTTTGCAAGATGTTATATTAGTAATAATAATAATATACAACCATTTGGACGTCGTTAATTTTCATTACATTACATTTTTTTTTATTTTCAACTACACAATCTTCTATAAAATAATATTACATATAAATAGAAAAAAATTTCTTCTTTTTCAGCCACTCATTTTTCACAAAAAACATTATTCTACTCATTTCCATTTATACAAAATAGGGCCAAATGGGGCATAAAATTTATACAACTTCATCTCAATCCAACTTAATCCCAAACCCTAAAATTCATCTCTCCATCTTCTCACCTCTTACTCTCTCCACCTAACTCGCAACTCCGACGCTGTCGCACCCACTACCAAAGACCACTGTCGAGCTCACAATGACGGTTTCTTTCCCCACCCCACATCGACAATCTCTATCCCCACCTCCATCTTCACAGGACACCCACTCCAATGGTTCTTCATTGCGCGCCCACTCTGACCAATCTTCACGTCACAGCAGCGTGCTCCTTCATGTTAGGCGTCGCCGCTTCGTGGCAACATAAACGCTGCGAGCGGCTATGGCTCTTCTCCGTGTTAGGGGTTTTGTTGTTTCGCGCGTGACTATCGCTAGCAAGCAAAGATGAGATCTATTTTTTCCTTCGTGCATAGTGACATAGTTATGTTCTTTTTTTTAGAGTTTGATTTCTTTGAAATGAATGATATGGAGCCGTGGTAGATGTCGGAGAGAGGTTATGGAGGTGGAGGCGGTGGGGTACTTGATGATTTTGTTTGTGGGGTGGTGGCTATGGTGTGCTAATATTGGGAGAGATGGTGATTTTAGCAGACAGCGGTAGTACGATCGTTGATTGGAGGTGGAGGTGGTGGGTGGCTTGTTAGAGCAAAATGCAGTGACGATGTTTGTGGTGGTAGAGCTGTTGGCGGTGATAGTGAGGGCAATGTGATCTGGTGACGATTTTTTTGTGGTGGTGTAGGTTAATGCGTTGATGGTGGTGCTGACGATTGTAATGGCGATGCTAATGGCGATTGTGGTGTGATGCTAGCAATGGTGGTAACAAGTGGCGGTGGCCGTAGTTGTACTGTTGGCGACGTGGTGTGTGACATGCCATCTGGTGTATGTGGCCAATTATTTGGTTATTTGTGACCAAGTATTAAATCGTAACCTTAAAATTTGGTAACTTGTGACTGTAATATAATTTGTAATCAACATATTTGAAAATATTTGATTAACAAATAAATTGTGATCCATAAAATTTTTAATTTGTCACCTTGAAAGAAAATGTGACCTATAAAATTTTTGATTTGTGATTTTAAAATAATTTGTGATTAATTTGATAATATGTTATCAATAAATAAATTGTGATCTATAATTTTGAATTTGTGATCATTAATTGTATAATTATAATTTTATTATATTTATTTAATAAATATTTTTAATTAATTATATATATACTCGAATTTTAAATTTTTAAACTATACGCCAGACTTTTGAATTTGTGAAAACTATATAGTATATACACGAGTTTTGACTTTTTTCCAACAAATAAACAAGGCAAATAGCCAAAAACATAACTTTATTAGCCCACAGAGATGTCGGTTGAGGTGATAGTATTTAGGAAATAGGATAACATCAAAAATAGGGAAAACTTCATATAAAAAAGTTAAGTATGATTCATTTCAAAATTAAAAAATAAGGTTTAAAAATTCAAAAATCATATATAAATTAATTTAATTTATGAAATATTTAATTAAAAATATATTTTATTAATTAAATATATATTTTACTAATTAAATATATTAAGATCACAATTCTATGGTATTTGGTCACAAATTATCGAATTAATTTATCACAAATTATTTTTCGATCACGAGTTAAGAACTTTACAGGTCACAAATAATTTTACGATCATAAATTTAAAAAATTTATAAATTAAAATTTATTTATTCGATCACAATTCAAAAAATTATAAGCCACAACTCAATCTTCTAGATTACATATTATTTATTGATCACAAGTTATTGCTTACTATTATTTATTGGTCACAAAATATTAAATTAATGGATCACAAATTATTTCTGCAGCTTACAAATTATTTGATTATTAGTCACAACTTAACAAAGTTTTAGTTTACACGATATTTATTTGTTACAAATTATCTATTTAATTGGTCACATTAACTAACTTATTGATCACAACCAACCAAATAATTTATGACTATCATTACCATCATTTGTGATTACTCACAACAATCACCTCCAATACAATCACTGCCAACACCACTATCGCTAGAATTACCACCACCTCCTCATGACAATCGATAGCAACGCCATCATCCCCATCATTTCAAACAAAACAAACACCCACACCAAAACTATCACTATTTTCACCTCAACCACAACGACGACCACCACCACCTCAACCACAAACCACTTCCACCTCACCAAATCCCATCGATTGAGAGCATTGCAACACTATCGAAAATTAGGTACCATTGACGATAGCTATAGCGACATCATCACACACATTCAAAATAAGATCCAATCGACTGTAGCACTACGGCATAATCCGGACTAGATCTCATCGACTATATCCGTAGTGACATCATCATGCACATTCAAAATTGGATCCAATCGATCGTGGCATTACAATGCCACTGTGCGTGACTCTAACATCATCGCTCAACGTCTTCTCATTGACGACAACGTCTTCTCGTGATGTTTTTCAGCGGCATTGTTCAATGAGATAAGGTGGGGATAGAGAGAAAATAGAGAGAGAAGCTGATAAGGGTTTTGGTGTGGGTTGTTGGGTATGGATTAGGTGGGATGAATATGTATATTTAATTTTGTAATATAATTGTTAACATTTAAAATTTTAATTAGCTTCCGATTTTTGAAAATAAAATTTTTAAATTTTAATTTTGAAATGTGAAGCTTAAAACTGTCAGGCTGTAATTTTCACTCAACATTACTATGCCCTTGTTTGAGCTCTTTTTTTTTTTTTTTTTTTTTTGGAAAAAATACATTCTTAAACATTGTTTTGATATCATTTCAGCCACACATTCTTCAATAAAATAATATTACATAAAAATCTAAAAATTTTCCTTATTTTTAATTACACATTTCACATCATTACACTTGTAGAACCCCAAATTATTCTAAACACCTTAGTGACACTAAGACATGAATATTGGATGACTAAAGTATACTTCAGATTTTTAGTCTCATTTGAAACCCAGTTTCGACATAGGAAACATTCGATTTAGAAAATGATATCTAAATAAAAATTGTAGCTCTTTGAGTTAGCTTTCCAACGCACTTTGAATTACCTCAATCGGATATTGGGAGAAGAAGTTATGATAGAAATATTGAAAACTGTGCAGTGTCAACCGGACTACAATCGGTCGACCGAAACTGCCTGAAATGAAAATTCTCGTTTTTCTCTAGAATTTAAATATTTATTTTCATCAATTATTTTCTCAAAGGGCCACCCACGTTTTTGGCAATAAAAACCCCACTAAATTGAAGCATTTAACTTCAAACTTAAATGACACCCATATTTTCTCTCTTAAATGAAATTTGATCCTTCATTTGCTTTAAGTTATGGAATATTTACCTATAAATAGAGACCTCATTTCACTCATTTTTTCTCACACCAAAAGCAAGAGCTTTTACATACTAAAAAAAGAGTTTCCAAGAGAGAAAAAGAGAGGGAGGAAAACTATTTTTTCTAAAAGTTTAAGAAGTGTTTTCAAGCATCAATTCTCAACGGTTTTCAAACATCCAAAGAGTGCATTTCTTTCAACGTCCAAGTTTCATCGAAGTTTTCAATCCAAATTTTCAAAGTTTCAAAAGCATCAATCAAGGTAGGTAGAGGTGCAATGTGTTTAATCGTGTTAAATTATAAGTTTCTATTCATGTTAATGTTTGTATGTCAAATGGTACTCCAGTACGGCATATCCATCTATGTTAATGGTTGTATGTCAAATGGTATTTCGGTACGGCATACCCCTCTATGTTGAAGAAATGTTCGTATGTCAAATGGTGCCTCCAGGTACGGCATGTATGAAAAGTTATAAAGTTAATGTTTTGAAATAATTTGATCACGAATGCACCTATGACATCTATTGAGTTTTTCAACTCACGGGTTTAATCTCATCTCTACAGATTGAAGGAATTCTACTTCGGGCATGGATGGAGGAGAAGATGGAGAGTGATGCAACGAGCCCATGAAAATCCGGTGAATAAGTGATTTGGATTTATTTTTATGAAATATTTTCCAATGTTATTTTTTTTGAGTTTTGAATAACGCAAAATGAGAGAACAAGTTATGTTTTCTTCAAATAAATTACATTTTGTTGTTTGAAAAATGATTCAGTATTTTTGTTTAAAGTATTTGAAGTATTGTTATTTAAATTATTATCCCAAGATGTAAGCTTCCGCTAAAACGTATACACTTGTTACTAAACCACCGGTTAAGTTAAGTGAAGTAAGTAGCGTTCCAGTCCACTAGGGGTCGGAGCGTTACAACACTATTCAAAAATATATTTTCTTGGCAAAAATGGGGCTCAAATAAGGGCTATATTTTCTTCAAAAAAATCTTAGCATTTCTCTTGGCTCCATTAATTTGATATTATATTTTTTTTTCTATATTCTTTTCAGTCATACATTATTCAATAAAATAATGTTACATGTAAATCCAAATCATTCTCTTCTTTTTTAATCATGTATTCTTTTAAAAATCACTAATTACAAAAGTATATTTTTCTCAAAAATCTAGTAATAATGGAGCTCAAACATGGGCTTAATAAAATAAAATAAAATATATATATATATATATATATATATATTCTCATCATTCAAAGTTCATATTTTAATTTTTCATTAAAATCTTGTTTTTCACGAATTGCAGATCGCACTCGTGTTTGGTATGATTAAAAATCAAATTTTAGTAGATTTTAATAAAATTTGATAAAAATTGTGAGTTCCATAAAATTTA